TTTCTGTTCCTTCCCAAAGTAGGGAGGCTTCTTGTCTGGACCCTCATGATTTAGCATCAGCTGTTCCACAATTTCAGCGGCCTCTTGGACGGTTTTAGGGGCCCTGTCCTTGACTAGGGTTTTAATCTCCCTCGGACAGCAGTAATAAAATTGGTCCAGTTCCATGAGATGGAGCAGCTTCTCTCTATTGTCAACCTTGGCTCCATCTGCCCATTTAAGGAGTGCATCCCACACCAGGGCCACAAAATCAGCCATCGTCTTCCCGGGTTGTGGGAGGATATTCTGGAATTTTTTCCGGAAATAATCTGGTCCTAACTTGAACCTTGAAGACACGGCCTTTTTAAAGGCATCATAGTCATCAGCTGCATCCAGGGGCAGGCTGTTCAGGACCACTGCCATGTCACCTTCTACCAGAGCAGCTGTGTGCATCATGAAATCTCCCTTGGGCACCTTCCACCATCGGGCTTGCCTTTCGAAGATGCTGAGGAATATGTCAGGATCATCTCCAACTCAGTAGTGAGAGAAGGATGGGGAGTTCAGTTTGGGGTGTACCCCCGGCGTTCATGGAGGGCCCACATCTCCCCTGTTGGGCTGCAGATGGAGTACCTCTAGTTCGTGCTTGGGCTTGGCCTCTGCCTCTTGGCACTGGTGTTCTCTCTCTCTCTGTCTCGGCGCTCAGCCTCTTCACACTGGGCCTCCATCTCCATCCTTTTCAACTCCAACTCATACTTGAGCTTGCACTGTCGCTCCTCAGCTTCTAGCCGCATCTGGTACCTCCAGTGTTCCTCTGTAGGAGGTGATTCCTCGGAGGGCTGCGGACTTGGCATGTGGGGATGTGATTCTGGGGAGGGCTCAGGAGTTGACATGCGTGAAGGTGTGGCTGAATCATTGTTGCACAGGAGTTTAATGAGATCTTCCTTCTTTAGCCCTTTCTTCACTTGAAGGCCTCTCCCTTTCGCCAGTTCTTTTAGTTCAGGCACGGTCATTTGGACATACTCGTCCGCCACACTATCCAGTCAACCCAATGCCAAATTAGAAATTGTTTGCTCAAGGGATTTCAGTGACTCTATTCCTCTCCCCAAATTATGCCTCTAATACAGCAGGGTATTCGTATCCCACCCCTGCCACCATGTGTGGTGGGCCAGTAGGGGGTGCTCCTGTGTTGAGGCACCAACCTCACTGCGCCCGACCACCTTCCCTGGGGGCACCTCGCATCTGACTGACCCCCTTCCTGGAGCACACTCACTAGCCTGGGGGTAACGTTAGCTGCCACCACCCCGAGAAGGGACTCTCTCGGCCTTGTGTCCTTGGGGAAACACAG